GGAGAAGACGATGATGATGATGGTAAATTTGACGAAAAAGATTTGGAAAAACCGGTTGTGGATGATAAAGATGATGAAGATAAGCCTGGAGACGATGACGATGATGACGATGATGATAAACCTGGAGACGATGATAAAGATGATGATTATAAGCCTGGAAAAGACGATGATGATGATGATGGTAAATTTGACGAAAAAGATTTGGAAAAACCGGTTGTGGATGATAAAGATGATGAAGATAAGCCTGGTGACAATGACGACGATGATGATGATAAATCTGATGATGCGGATGAAAAACCTGATGAAGATGACGATGATGATGAAGATGAAGATGACAAAAAACCCGATGACCGTAAACCAGAGGATGACGACGACGACGACGATGATGGAAAAAAAGATAAAGTTGGCCCGAAAGAAGATGAAGATGATATAACAGATGATGACGATGATGAAGAAGATGATAAAAAGGAAGACAAAGAGGATGCTAAAAAGGACGAAGATGATGAAACTGATGAAATAGTTCATCCCGATAAAGAGAAACCTACTAAAGAAGAAGCTGGTGACGATGACGGAGACGAAAGCGGTGGGGGTAAAACTGACGACGACGACGATGTGACAGAAGCACCAGATCACGACGGCGAAGATGAAGATGACGTCATTACGACAACGGCTCCGAAAGTCGCAGACGACTCTTCATCATCATCATCCTCATCATCGTCATCGTCATCATCTTCTGATGACGATGATGAAGAAACTCAAATAACGACTCAGGTCGCTACATGTAGAACTATGGAAGGATACGATGAGGATTTAGTTGAAATGAAAAAGCACGGACGTAACGTCGAGAGAGAGATTTCTACAAAGTGAGTACGTGAGTGAATGTGGTTATGAGAGTGAGTGAGTATTATTCTTCAAAAAAAATTATCAGAATCTGAAAAACGCAGAGACTGTTACAGCATGCAAAGCAATAGCGTAAAATGATAGAGAAAAATAGATAACGTATAGTATGAAGTTTAACTAGCTGCAATTTCTAGATTTACTTGTGGATCAATTTATTGCGTTTGTAGTACATTAAAAAAACTGTATATGGTAAAAATTATTCAAAATATATATACCTAACTATAATAATTTGAAAAACTAATTATAAATACACTCAATTAAAAAGTAATTATCAATAAGCTTAACTATAATTAATTAAAAATTAACTATAAATATATTAATTACGAACTAATTATAAATATATTAATTATAAATTAATCATAATTATATATTCACCTGAAGGTGGTTCATTGAGGATTGGGGTGAGTGCATCAACAACGAGATGTTCAGGCAGGTCCTATGCGTGGTCACCCCCAGCGAGACAAGGACAACCATCAGCACTTTTGAAAAATTATGTCCCCAACCCAAGCCTGCAACCTATCAGAAATGTGATTCTTCAGCTCCGAGAGAAGAAAAGGTGGCTGGAAATAACTAGTTTATATTTATTCATTTGTGATTTAATGTTGTATTACTTTTATTTACAAAATTATGGCTAGTTTTAAGTTAATTTAATTTACAAATTCATATACACTGAATGTGGTTCTGATAATTTTGAATTTTAGTTTTCGTTTCGATTGCTCGTCATTCTGAGTTAGGCCTAAGGCAGGCATATATTTACTGCCAGTTTTTCAGTTTAAGAAAGAAAGTGCTGATTTTTTAATTGTCATTTTATACGATGTGATTTGGTTTGTATACAAAAATAATTAACGTCGATTAAATATAAGAATTAAACAAGTAGAGGAAAAAATTATCCGACAAAACTGTCTAAAATCTTTTGGTTAAATAAAAATTAACTTCAATTTCAGCGCTGAATTTCAGCACGTGGGAAAGTGATTTTTTAAAATTTGAAAACTTCTCTACAGGTTGTAAGCGTGAGAGAGTTCCGCACATCTCATTGCGTCCAAGATTCTTGCGCCTGGTACGAGTGGGTCTCATCAGATTGGTATGGGGTGAGTAGCTGATTTCCATTTCTTCATTTTTCAATTTCTCCATTTCTCCACTTACTTATTTAGCAACCTACGATACGAACTTACCAAAACCTCATGAGTACATTTTACCATTTCCTGTGTATTCTCTTACAAGTTTTTGTTATTATTTTACTGTGTTTCATTTTGTGATGTGTAAGCAATTTTTAACTGTTAATAACCTTCAATCATTTTTACATATAATTTTGACTGAAGTACACAACACAGTCCGGTGTTAACCTACATTTTTTGTCAAGGGAGTTAGTTATACGTCCTTATGTTCAGCCAGTTTGAATTTTAGGAACAAATAAAAACCATCAAATTGCCACTTACATAACCTGCTAAATCTTTCTACTGCACATAAAAAATTTTAATTTGTTGATACTAAAATTAAAAAAAACTCAACCGACGACATCCATAATTTCATTCAGTGTACGAACTCGTGCAACGAAAAATTCGACTACAGAACAGTGCACTGCAGCCCGTCAAACAGCTTGATGCACGTCGTCTCAGAGGACCACTGCAGAGGCATCGAGAAGCCAGCCACTAAGAGGGAATGCCAGAGAAGCGAGATTGCCTGCGACTACGTGCCCGTCTGGTTCGCCACCGAATGGGACAAGGTTCGTATTATTTCGAATCGAGTTATTGCGCCGTATTGCTTGCCAACTGTTTAAAATGTGTGTAATTTAAATAATTTTGAGTGATGTGCTTTAAATTATATTTTATAGTTTCTTCGCGTTTACACTTTAAGATAATAATTCGTTAAAATTTTGACTTACGATCTGAGAGTAACATGATGTGATGGCTTGAAACCATAGTGTGAATTAAACCTAAATTCAATAATTAATTTTTATTAACTTGAACTTTCTATTTTTATTAAACTTTATCCAACATGAGAGACAATCTTAAAAATCTCCCGCATGCAGTGTTCGTCACAGTGTGGCATCGGCACTCAAGTTCGTGAGGTCTTCTGCGGCATCGTCTACCGCCACCACGGCGGCGCTGGTGTCGACAGTATCCAAGTCTTCTACGAGGACCGATGCGATTCCAGCACCAAGTTACCGACGGTCCAGTACTGCAAGGTGGAATGCAAGCCTAGATGGGTCTACGGAAGCTTTGGAGCGGTGAGCATGTTGAAACATTTTCAATAATTTGAAGTTGTGTTTTCGCAATTTTTCAATTTTAGTTTTTAATAACAATTTTTCATAACTATTTCTCGCATGCTCGCACACCGTGCGTGCACACCGCACATACACACGTACATGCATAACATACACACACAATTTGAACCTTCACAAAATTTCATTGCAACTCGCATAATTCACACAAATAAACAACCCATTGTGTACAGATTTGTCACACACAATTTGCCACACATACACGTACACAGACACGCACGTACACACACATACACACACGTACACACAGTGCACAAAAACCTGTGGTGGAGGTGTCCAGGAAAGAATGGTACGTTGTCTGAGGGGCTCTGAGGTTTCGAACGAATGCGAGGAATACAACAAGCCCCTGGAGTCTGTGGCCTGCAATGAACACCACTGCCCTACCGGTATGTATCAGTATTATTATTATTATTATTGTTGTTGTTGTTGTTGTTATTGTTATTATTATTGTTATTATCATTATTATTGTTGTTATTGTTGTATTATAATTTTTATCATCGTTAATTTTAATAATTGTAGAAATATCTGGTTGTAGTAGTAGTAATAATAGTATTAGCCATGGTAGTAGTAGTAGTCGTAGCGATAGTAGCAGCAGCTGTGGCAGTGGTAGTAGAAGTAGTAGCGTTTTATTATCAATATTTCCTATTAACGTTCCCATTATTATTTCTATTAATATTATTATTATTATTTTGATTAGCATCAATTAATGCGTATTTACTTGCGCTTTGTACGTGCGTGCGTGTGTTGTTGTTGTCGTTAGCTTTGAAAATAAATTAAGAGATAATAAATAATAATAATCACAATAATAATAATAATAATAATAATCATAATCATAATCATAATAAACAATAGTAATAATAATAATAATAATGATTTTACTCAGTTTGTCCGGTCATAAAATGTTATACTAAATGCCAGTTTGGTTACTACGTCAATAGCAAAGGCTGTTCAACCTGCCAATGCATTGAGATTAATTGTTAGCTCTCTGATTAATTAGATCTCTAATTAATTAGATCTCTAATTAATTAGATCACCTAGTTAATTGAATTGGAAATTAAATTTAAATATTGTTATTATATATTTAGTCGTTGTTATTGTTTATCTGCTAAATTAGTTGCTTCGTTATGCGAAAAACGTAAAAAAATTTCTTTTTTCATAAAAAAAATTGATTATGATAGAATTCGGAAATCTGATATAACAAAAGTTAACATTTCACGTAACAACTTATCAATGAAATCAGTTTGAAATTTCAGTTATATAACAAATGTAATTAATGCATTTTCTGAAACATGGATGATTCTTGGATAAACGCTTAAGCTAGGTCAAAGATAATATAATACGTGCATATAAATAAATGAATAGATAGATTGAAGTTTCACGGCACGTTAGCAAATTAGATAATGTACAGAAAAGTTATTACGTAAAAGTCTGCCAGTCAGCCAAACAAACAAGCAAAAACAAATCAATCATTCAATCAACCTAGAAACCAATTCAAGAGGCAGACAATAGTTTTTTAAATCATCCAACAATTTAATAAATTAATGTATGATCTAAACGAACAACACATAACCAACCAAACAAACAAACAAATGAATGAATAATCCAACAACCAACCACACACAACTAACTACATACCAACACACAACGCACACACAACACACACACAACTAACCAATCACACACAGACAAACATAACTAGCCAACCAACCACGTACAGACACACAAACACACACACACACACGCGACTAACCAACCACAGACACACATAAATACACAACCAGCCAACTACCCAAATACCTACATACACACACACACACACATATACATATACATACACACAACTAATTAACCACAGACACACACATAAATACACAACCAACTAACTAACCAGTTATCTACAACGAACTTCCATGCGAAACTTCGCAATTCGGATGTTGTCCGGATGGCGTAACTCCAGCAACGGGCCCCAACCAATGCGACTACCCCACCCACATCCCAAGTGGGCAAGACCCCGAGAGTTGCCACTACTCTCAATTTGGGTGTTGTCCTGACGGAATCACGCGTGCCCAAGGATATTATCAAGAAGGATGTCCCTACGGTATGTTTGTTTGTTCGTCCGTTCGTTCGTTCTTTTGTTTGTATGTTTGTTCGTTTGTTCTTTTGTTTGTATGGTTGATTGTTTGTTCGTTCTTTTGTTTGTTTTTATGTTTGTTCGTTCGTTTGTTCGTTCGTTTGTTCTTTTGTTTGTATGTTTGTTTAGCTATTTAGTTTTTGGTCGGTTTTTTATTTTGTTCATCCGATGACACATTCCTCTACATTTATTTAAAAAGTTTTCGTATTTGCTAATTCTTCCGAAAGTGTATTAATTTATCTATTTTTTATATGTCCATCCAATCATTCCTTCACTCATTCATTCATTCTTCCATTCATTCATTTATTCATTTATATATCCATTCATTCATTCATTCAGTTATTCATTCATTAATTCATCCACTCATCCATCCATCCATTCATTCACTCATTCACTCAATCAATCGATCGATAAATCTCTCATCAATCCGCCAACCCACCCCAACCCACCAAACCCTCCCTCATCCAGAAGAGCCACACTGCCAGCAGACTGAACACGGAATGCAGTGCACACACACGACGACAAGGCCACACGACGTCTTTTATTGCAATGAAGCAGAGTATGGATGCTGTCCGGATGGGTATAACTTCGCCTTGGGACCAAATTTTTCAGGATGTCCCGAAGGTTCGTTGATTGGTTTGTTCGTTGGTTGGTGGGTGGAAAAGTTTTTTTTAGGATGAAAGAAGTGTAAAGGCTAATCTCAAATATTAATCAGTCAACAAATCAATCAGTCAATTTATCAACCAATTACTCAACAAATCAATCAATTAGCCAATCGTAGTTAACCGTATCAGTCAACCAACATATCAAATATCCAACCAACCAATCATCCAACCAACCATCCAACCAACCAATCATCCAACCAACCATCCACATTTTACCAACCAGTGCAACCATCAGTAGATTGCTCCAAGACATATTACGGGTGCTGCTTGGATGGTATGAGAGTCGCCAGCGGTCCGAATTTTGAAGGCTGCCATCTTGAACCGGAAGGAGGTAAAAAAATTTCACGTCACGTTAGACAACAATTACACATTACTAACAATGCATTACATTACAGTGCGTTACATTACTAACATGGGGTCACATTACTAACATAATAAAACATTACATCAATACTACAACACTAACATTACATTACGTTAGTTCTACAATAATAACATTACATTACATCAATACTACAATACTTACATTACATTACATCATTACTCCCATTCCTGAATTTCACACTACCATTCTCACACCTACTCCCAGCTTACGATCCCAACCGTGTGACGGATTCCAGAGAACCTGTCACTCAGGAACCATTCCAAATAAACTGCCAGGACACGGAATATGGATGCTGTATGGATGGGATGACGATGGCCACTGGTCCGCATTATGCCGGCTGTCCCTTGCAACACCGCAAGAAGGGTCTACAAATCCTTTGTTTAATTTTTTGTTGTTTTAATGATTTATTTATTTGTTAATTTTTTATTGGTTTATTTATTAATTCATTCGTCTATCAGGTAATAATATTTACCCATTTAACTAGTTTACCAATCTAATGAGCCATTTATCCATCCAGCCAACCAAAAATTCAATCATATATCCACAGCCAGCCAGCTTATCAAAAACGTATTCATTCATCCGTCCTCATCCAACCAACTAGCCAGCCATCCATCCAACCAATCAACCAACTAACCATCTAACCAACCAACCAACCATCTAACCAACCAGCCATCCAACCAGTCAGTCAACCAACCAACTAACCAATCAATCAACCAACCAGCCAGCCATTCAATCAATCACTCATTCCCATCTTCAGGTGTCTGCTTCCTACCATCTGAACCCGGAAGCTGCAACGACCACGTCGTCAAACACTACTATGACTCGCAATCCGGAGAATGCAAGAGTTTCTGGTACGGCGGGTGTGGGACGAATGGGAACATGTTCAATTCGGAAGAGGAGTGCAAACAAGAGTGTGTATTGCCTGAAGATATCGGTTCGTTATTAACGTTGTTGTTGTTTGTCGTTGTTGTGTTGTTGTTGTTTGTCGTTGTTGTTGTTGTGTTGTTGTATGTACTGATTTTGTTGGTGACGTTGACGAAGTTACGTTTTTTTTACACCTTGAATTTGTTGCTAGTGCCTGCCTATTGTTGCAATTGCTTTTACAACCAATTATTTTTTATTTGATCGTTATCCTTTCAAAAAAAATATAGTGTACATAGTTTACTTTAATTTGCCCCCCGACTACTCTAACGACTTCAAATCAAGCAAAACCACAACCTCATTTAAACGTTCTAAACACGTCACGATCACCACACAAACACACTTCAAACGCATCACAAACACACAAAAACACCACATAAACACCACACAAACACACCACAAACACCACACAAACACCACACAAACACCACACAAACACCACACAAACACACCTCAAACACCACACAAACACACAAAAACACCACACAAAAACACCACCCAAACACACACAAAAACACCACCCAAACACACAAAAACACACGAAAACACCCCACAAACACGCCACAGACACACGAAAACACCCCACAAACACGCCACAGACACACAACAAGATATTCTACAATACTCTATATAATTACACGACGCACAGACCGCTGCTTCCTACCGTCTGTCACCGGCATATGCAGGGCTTC